TTTTATGGTGGTGGCTTTCCTTCCTCCTCCATGTTCTGCCAAAACTCAGGGACGGCATATCTTCCATTTGCATTGTATCCATTCATTTCTATCAATGCAGTGCTGACAGCCTCGAATGCAACATCACTGCCTTCACTTCTCAACTCTTTTGGCTTCTCGTTGTCTTCATCGATCATTTCCTGCATAACCAAATGACATCCTTCAACGTTTAGGTGCGAGTAAACAATGACTTGATTCTTGCATTTAGAAACTGGAACAACCTTATAAGGTGCAGCTAATTTTTCATGTATTTAGTCCAGATTTTGACATGCATGTTTAGCACATGGTAGAACAACATGATTTAGGTCTTCGATACAGATTGCAAAAAGATGGCTATTGTGATATTCACTGTTGGAGAGTTAAAACAGACCAAACCCAGAAAAACTCTAAACTACAGTCTGAAGTGAAAGAAACCCATGAAGATGAACATCAAACTAAACTCAGAAGAATAAAATAATAATAAAAAATCCAAATTCTAAAGCAAAAATGAGAAGGAAACAGAGCTGTAAAATTTGGGGGGGGGAACTTGGACCATTTCTCGATTTGTGTGTCATCCTTGCGCAGGGGCCATGCTAATCTATATGAATGCTTATACTCTACAGTTCTTTAGCGGTGTTGGATCTTTGGTTCGTTTCTAACTGAGCAGTGAACTACTATTTGTAAACCTGGCTTCTGTATTTAGTTTAAAATTTTGAACTGCCTGAGACTGGTCTGACCTATTTCTGGATTGCCAATTCATGGCCGCAAACAGTGAAAGAGGTAATGAGCAAAAACACAAAAACAAAATTACTAACGTAATTTTAGAAACAATGATTAATATCTAGAAATATATACAAACAGATGGAGCAATCTTATATAAACAACATATTTTTGAAATAAATATGGAGAAACATTGAGATATAAGAGCAAGACTTACTGAATTATTATTGGCTGGCCTTGGTTGAGTGCAACTATGCATAGTACAAGTAATCTTAAATGAAATTTGATATTCACACAACTGAAGCAGGTCCAATCATCTTCCCTGCCACTAACTAGAAATTTAACCATAAAATTTTAACATTTTCAAAATCAAACATCAAAAACTAGGAACGGAGCAAGCTTAGCAATGTGGATTGAAATTTAAGATGATTTTAGCAATAGATCTATTAGAGTTTGAAGTAAACAATAATAGTTGAGAGAATTAGAAGAAAAGGAAAGATTACCTAAGACATTGAAGCGTTGCCAAATGAGAGAGAGAGTAAAAATGGTGGGAGTGGAAATTGGGAATTACACCTACAAAAAAAAAGGGCGGTAATGGGTTTTATAAACAGAAGAGGATATCAATTTTGGTTAATTTATACTATTAGTCCTTGTATTATATGTAAGTAGCAAATTTAGATTATGTATTCCTTATACTTTCCAAGGTAAAAGGGATATCAATTGATTGCATAAACACATTGCAAACTGAAAAACCTGTTAAAGAACACTTACATGTTTCCAAAGAGAAACGAGTCCGAAGTGTAGAAATTCATACTCCAGTTCTCTAGATCTGGTAAATACACCAGACAATTTAGAATTTCTTGTGAACATCATTGTTTTTATTGCAAATCCAATTTAGAAAGAATCCAATGATTCGACTACAAAGTGAAACATACTTCACAGCTAGCATAAACCCATTAACAACTTATGATTTTACCAGTAGAAACAGAAGTAACGGGATATCAATTGATTGCATAAACACATTGCAAACTGAAAAACCTGTTAAAGAACACTTACATGTTTCCAAAGAGAAAAGAGTCCGAAGTGTAGAAATTCATACTCCAGTTCTCCAGATCTGGTAAATACACCAGACAATTTAGAATTTCTTGTGAACATCATTGTTTTTATTGCAAATCCAATTTAGAAAGAATCCAATGATTCGACTACAAAGTGAAACATACTTCACAGCTAGCATAAACCCATTAACAACTTATGATTTTACCAGTAGAAACAGAAGTAACGGGATATCAATTGATTGCATAAACACATTGCAAACTGAAAAACCTGTTAAAGAACACTTACATGTTTCCAAAGAGAAACGAGTCCGAAGTGTAGAATTCATACTTAAGTTCTCCAGATCTGGTAAATACACCAGACAATTTAGAATTTCTTGTGAAAATCATTGTTTTTATTGCAAATCCAATTTAGAAAGAATCCAATGATTTCGACTACAAAGTGAAACATACTTCACAGCTAGCATAAACCCATTAACAACTTATGATTTTACCAGTAGAAACAGAAGGATCCTTTGGTTACTTAAATTTAACTACATAAAAAAGTATAAACTAATTCAGCAATATCAATCTCAAAGCAATTAAAAAATTTTGAGGTATTCACTGTTGCAGAGAGTAAAACAGAAAAAAAAAACTCAATTTCTAAACTTAGGTGCCCAACAACTTCGGCAGAAATATCAGAGCCAGGTTTCGATCCTGGGACCTGTGGGTTATGGGCCCACCACGCTTCCGCTGCGCCACTCTGATTTGCTGTTGTGTGAACATAGCTCTAGTTTCAAGTTCATTTAAGTATCATTTCCGCAAGAAAGGGAACTCCGTGAGCACACCATGTAAAACTAATATACCCGGTCGTTTTCAGGGTCGATCTTGAAAGGATTCCACTGGATTCTCGAAGGACGTTGACAGCAGGCAGCATAAGAAGCTTGTTTTTTCGAGCATGAACAATCAGTTTGATAAATATAAGACATTGCAATAACTTTGTAATAATGTTCTCTGTAAAGATAGAAGCATCAATGAAAGTAATGGATAGGTAAGCATACCATGAAAATAGCCAAAGCAAAATCATAGGGTACGTTTTCGTTTAAACTTGAATCTTCAGTTGTATGATTATGTAGTCAATGATTTCTTTCATGGTGGCGGCTTTCCTTCCTCCTCCATGTTCTGTCAAACCTCAGGAAGTGCATACCTTTCATTTCCATTGATGCAGTGCTGACAGCCTCGAATGCAGCGTCACTGTATTCATTTCTCAACTCTTTCGACTTCTCGTTGTCTTCATCCATCATACCCTGCATAACCAAATGCCGGCCCTTAATGTTTAGGTGTGAGTAAAACAATGGCTTGATTCTTGCATTTAGAAACTGGAACAACCTTATAAGGTGAAGCAAAATTTTCATGTATTTTGTCCAGATTTTGACATGCATGTTTAGCCCATTTTAGAACAACGTGATTTAGGTGTTTGATATTCTCTGAGAAATGGTAACCGTCGGTTCAATCCACAATCCGATAATGGTTAATGCATCCCAATGCTTCCCGGATTGTCAAGCATTGCCCATGAATTCCCATACTGAAAAACCATGAAATTTTATCAAAAACCTCAATGAATCACTTCCAAAGTAGAGATATAAGGAAACTCCTAGCAGTATTCAAGGATATCAATGGATTGCATAAACACGTTACAAACTTAAAACCCTGTTAAAAACACTTCGATTATCCTCAAAGAAAAAATGGTGGATCAAATTGCAAAAGCATTAGAAAGAATGAAAGGATTCATGTACAATGTGATATGATAAGCCAAATTCCTACACAAAGCCAGAATATTTGGGCATGTCAGTTCTATACTTCACAGCAGGCATAAAACCAATCAACAACTATAATTAACTCTATAAATTGAAGGATCCGTTGGTTACTTAAAATGTTAATTCCAGCTAAATCTAATTAAATAAACAGATCAAACCCAGTAACAAATACTCTTATGCATAAAACCCATGAAGATGAACATCAAACACAGAAAAAATTTGCAAATTAATAATAATAAGTTAGTAAATAGATGGCTAGTGAAGTATTCACTGTTCGAGAGAGTTAAAACAGACCAAACCCAGAAAATATCTAAACTACAGTATGTAGTGAAAGAAACCCACGAAGATGAACATCAAACCAAACCCAGAAAAATAATTAAAAATGAACTCCAAATTCTGAAGCAAAAAATGAGAAGGAAACAGAGCTGTAAATTTTGGAAGTTAAAAAATTTGGACCATTTCTCGATTTGTGCGTGTCATCCTTGCGCATGAGCCATTTCAATGTCGCTATTTTTTTCTATATGAATGCTTATACCATACAGTTCTTTAGCCGTGCAGGATCTTTGGTTTGTTTCTAACTGAGCAGTGAACTCTGTAACAGAGGCCCATCGGATGCTCTGACTAAGCCTTTGATTATAAATGGGTCCCATTCCCACACATCAACCCGGCCTCAAGCAAGCTCAGCTGAACATTTATCCTTGAGCCATTATTAGCTTTGAAAAGAAAAGAGGTAAATCAAGGTTTAATCTTGAACTTTGTAAAGTTGTCCAATTTAGTCCCTAATTCCTTTTTTTCCTGACCAGTTCTGTTTTTTATTATGACTCCGATTGTTGACGATTTGGGTTCAAGCATATGCATAAAGCATGTTAACCACATGAGTCTCGTCAACTATAGATTGATCAACATTAGTCTTTATCACCCGCAGTTCCAGACTCGAGAGTTGTTAAAAAAAACAGTTAGATCCTCTTAGAGGCCATTGATTCAATGGGGCATGAGTCGTGGAATGGACTGCAATTTTATTAAATAAAGAATAAATACTCAAAATTATAAGAAGATTTTACGAAAATAATAGTAAACTAATAACTTAAACTGGACAAAGTGATGAAATCACAATTAAGATTACAAGCTACGTTTAAAAGATTACAAGCTAAATTGACAACAATTAAGACAACTTAAAAATTGCTTTGCCTCCAACCTCCAAACTCTCCTTTTTCTTCTTCATTTTCCTTAACCTACAATACAACAACACCCAACAAAATCAAGCTTATATTATTGCCATGGAATAATCTCGTATATTTAAAATAAAATAATAAATCAAAATAAAAATAACTCAACATTTATTTGTTTTTTCAATTACGTCCTTGATATTTTAACTTTGTCATGCCACATCACCAAAATTATTGATTGTTTTTTACAATATACCTTTCGTTTACAAACAAAAGTAATCATTTTCAAAACTCATAATTAAGATGGGAAAAGGGTTTATATACCTTTGTGGTGAAAGTAACACCGACCGTAATATCTCCACGATAACTATTTTCAGCATTAACTACACTATGTTTAGTAGGATGAATTTCAGCACTTCCTTTCTCTGCTCCAATCGCCAATAAATCCTTCACATATATTCTGCAAACATGCCGAAAATATTTCGAGTTAAAAATAATACTCGATGAACCATCGACCTATGTTTTATTTCGGATTTTTCATTTTTCTTGTAATATTCGAATGTGAACCTTACGTGGCCTGGCCAATAAAGTCGTCGGAAGAGAAGGTGTCCTTGTCCATGATTTTCAGAATGAGCTTGTAGTCACCACCTGATCCTGGATACTCCACCCTGAATGTAAATTTTTCATTCCATGATGGGTTAGACCCATCACCTGCACACAATTTAACCTTTTAGGTAATTTGTAAAAATTATTTTGATTTAATTCTTCAAATTTCTCGAATGATATATCTCGAACTGATGTTAAGACATGAGCACCAAGAAAAGAACTCTCCAATGACCCTTTAAAAATACTTAAAAAGAGAATACAAATATAGAATGACCTAAAAATATTTAGAAAGAGATTATCACATATGTAGACCGAGAGAATGTTAAAAATGGTCACGTTTCCTAAAAATTCTAAATCTCATATAATTTAGGTATTTCTTTTATATTTTCTTTTGATGATTAAAGCTTGTACTTATAATTTTTAATATGTTTTCTAAATATTTACATCGCTGACGCAAAATATTACGTCTCTTCCTGATAAACATATTAATTTTATCACGAGTACAAAAATATAATTATTTATATATATCAAATATATATTTATATTCGACACTTATTGAAATTACGGTTATACATAAATAAAGAGGTTCAAAATAAAAAATGAGGAAGGAAAAATTAATATAATAACCTCTGGCCACGCTGCTCTTGCGCTCTTAACCTTTGTATTGAATTATGACATAGGGGTCCATATCACCTACCAATCAAATACAAGAAAAATAGGGAAATAATATCTTTAGTTCAACTTTTCACACATTCAACATCATCAATCCCTAATCTTCCACCAATCATCAACGAGCATTTACATCTTGAGAAAATCTATACGGACTACCCAACGAGAATCAGATCACCAAAACAAATTTTGACGTGATAGTTTAGAGATGTTAATTAAAATTTCTATATCTTTTAGAGGTCTAATCAAATTTTTTGAAAATTGAGGAATTTAGTGAAATTCTTTGAAGAAAAAAATTGAGGGTCTAATTAATATTTTTAAATTTTTTGGGAAATTTAATGAAGAATTTTAACAATTTTGAGATGTTTAAATAAAAATAATCAAAAAATTGAGAGATGTAATTCAAATTTCTCTAAATATTTCTTGGTTACCATCCGCCTCTGCAGATCATGCTAACTCCAACATATTTTGATTCTAATTTCAAATCTATTCCATGTTAGATGATTGTATGAACTAACTGAATTAGACTCGGGATTCAACATTTCACTAACAAAAAGAAAGTAAAATCCATATATAGCCACCCAGAAATGGGTTCTCTTCCTTTTTTATCAAGCAAAGAACACTCGCATTTCAAAATCAGTCAATTTAGGCAAGAAAATGAATGAAAACAAGAGCAAGAAAAACAAAATCTGATCAATCAAAAAGAAGAAAACGAAATCAGATTCATAGATCGCATACCCAGAAAATCTGTATCATCGAGGCCTTTAGCGCTAACCAAGAACACTTCCAATATTCCAGATGCCATCCTTGAATCGGATCCTTTCTTCTTTTTCTCTCGGAGATTCTTTGAATGAAAATTGTTTGGACACTTTGGATTCTTTTGATTCTTTATACGGAAGAAATGAAAGGACTTGGCATGGTGACTTTGATAGGTTGGCAGGCACGACTGACCAGCTTCAACTTTATAAATGAATGGCTGTTGCGGAATACGGCTATCGGATAGAGCAAAATCGCAACTGATAATTTGAGAAAATAAAAATGAAGATAAAAGAGACACAAAATTTACGTGGAAACCCCCTAAAATATTTAGGGTAAAAACTACGGGCAACGGTAGAAGAATTTCACTATGAGAAAATAGGAATTACAACCTCTCTCGATCTACCAAGGAGAAAACAATGATAATTATCTCTAGATAAAAAGGAGAAAACAACTCTCAAGAAACTCTCTAAAATCTCTCTAGTATTGGAAGAAAGCTAGAATGCTTTGGGATGATTTTGAAGCTAAATGAGCTAGGGTATTTATAGTTGAAAACTAAGGACTAATTTGTAAATACTCTAAAGTTTAATGACTAAATTTTGATTTAGCCATTGTCCAAAAAATCAACAAAACAACTCATTTTTTTCGGTGCATTTAATATGCACCTTTCGGTGCTTAGTCAACAATCTCCTACTTGAAGATTTGATTGGAACAATCATATCTTCACACCATTCTTTCTACCTTGTACCATCATGTTGCTTACGTCTCTGACAGGCCACAAGAGGATCGACACCAAGTAAATTTATCGGTATTGATCGTCTTCGTCATGAAATATGCTATGTTGTCTTTGGTATAAATCTTCTGCATATCTACCGTCCCTTCTTCCACCTTTTCACGAATGAAATGGTATTGAACTCGTATGTGCTTTGTCCTTGAATGAAATGCTGGATTCCTTGCTAGATGCAAGGCGCTTTGACTGTCACAAAACAGAGAAACATACTCTTGATTGTGCCCAAGCTCCTCCAATAGCATCTTCAACCAAATTGCTTCTTTACTGGCTTGTGTAGCTGCTACATATTCTGCCTCTGTTGTGGACGTAGCCACGACTGACTGCAATTTTGAAACCCAAATTACAGCTCCACCAGCAATTTTAAACACATATCCTGTAGTAGATTTACTTTTATCCAAATCCCCTGCATAGTCAGAATTTACATAACCATTGATTAGTAAGTTTGATCCTCCGTAAAATAATGCAACATTTGAGGTCCCTTTGATGTATCTCAGGATCCTCTTCACTGTATTCCAATGCTCTTTGCCTGGATTCGCCATGTACCGACTAACCACTCCCACTGCTTGTGCAATGTCTGGTCTTGTGCATATCATAGCGAACATTAAACTTCCCACTGCTGATGCATACGGTACTCGAGATATCTCCATCATCTCTTCTTCACTGCTAGGACTCATACTGGAGGATAATTTGAAGTTAATAGGAAGAGGGGTAGAAATTGGCTTACAATCTTGCATGCTGAATCGTGACAAGATATTCTTCAAGTAATTCTTTTGTGAAAGCCAAATCTTCCTATTACTTCTGTCTCGGTGAATTTGCATCCCTAGAATCTTGTTTGCTGATCCCAAGTCCTTCATTTCAAATTCCCTAGCTAGTTGTGCCTTCAATTCTTCAATATGATCTTTGTTGGGTCCTGCAACCAACATGTCATCCACATACAACAGCAATATAACAAAATCGTTATCACCAGACCTCTTAAAATAAGCACAAGGGTCTGCATTAAGTCTGTTGTATCCAAGGCACATAATGAAGGAATCAAATCTCTTATACCAACACCTCGGCGCCTGCTTTAGACCGTACAGAGATTTGTTCAACCTGCAAACCAAGTTCTTCTTTTCTTTTTCTTCAAATCCTTCAGGCTGGAGCATGTAAATCTCTTCTTCAAGATTTCCATGAAGAAAAGTTGTTTTAACATCTAGTTGCTCTAGATGTAAGTTCAATGTAGCACATATTGCCAAAACTACTTGAACTGTTGTTAGTCGAACCACAGGAGAAAATATTTCATTGAAATCAATACCTTCTTTTTGAGCATATCCTTTTACCACCAATCTTGCACGATACCTCTCAACTTGATCGTCACCATTTCGCTTGATTTTGAAGACCCATTTGTTACCAATTGGCTTCCTTCCTTGTGGTAGTGGCACAAGGTGCCATGTATTATTTTTATGAAGGGCTTCGATTTCCTCTTGCATCGCCATCATCCATAGTGAAGCATCTGAGTTGTTTATTACCTCTTGGTATGTTGATGGCTCACCGTCCTCTGTTAAAAGGCAGTATGCAATATTACCTTCTATAACATAATCTGAGTGCCAATTGGGACGTCTTCTCACATGATCTGATTGACGAGTTGTTGGAGTTTCAGAACTCTCTGGTTCTTGTTCATCATGTGCTGGTTCTGCTTCAGAAGAATCTCCTTGTTCAACCTCCTTTTCCACATGTATATGTGTAGTCTCTGACTTTTCAGTGCTATCATCGTCTTCTTTTCTTTGTAGCTTATCTTCTATAAAGATAACATCCCTGCTAATGATCACTTTACGGGCAGTGGGATCCCACAAGCGATACCCCTTGACTCCATCAGCATACCCCAAGAATTTGCATTTCCTGGATTTTGGATCCAGCTTTGAGATTTCTTGGGAGTTGTACATCACGTACACAATACTTCCAAATACATGGAGGTTTGAATAATCAGCTGGTTTACCAGTCCACATCTCCATTGGTGTCTTCATCTCTATTGCAGTTGTTGGAGCTCGATTCACCAAATAACAGGCGGTATTGACTGCTTCTGCCCAGAATGATTTTTCTAGGCCTGCATCCCTCAACATTGCTCGTGTTCTTTCTAACAAGGTTCTATTCATCCGCTCTGCCACTCCATTTTGTTGAGGAGTGTTCGCCACTGTGAGCTGTCTTTTGATGCCTTCTCTCTTGCAAAAGTCATCAAATTCTTCGCTTGTGTATTCTCCTCCATTATCTGTTCTGAAACACTTGATCTTATTTCCATAATCAAGTTCCACTCGCGCTTTGAAGTTTTTGAAAGTTGCAAACACATCTGACTTCTTCTTAATAGGGTACACCCAATATCTCCTGGAGTAGTCATCAATAAATGAGACAAAGTATTTTGCTCCGCCTAGGGATGTGACCGGTGCTTGCCATACGTCAGAGTGAACTAATTCTAGAACACTTTTTGTAACATCCTAAGTAACGGGTTAGTGACTAAATTGTAAAAATTCAGAATTTGGTGATTAAAGTAGAATAAATATATATAGTTTAAAAATAATTGTTAGTAAATATGAAATGAATTTAAGGACAAAATGGTCATTTGCAAGGAAAAATAATAATTAAAAATTTTAAGGGGTTATATTATAACCCACGTGGGGCATTAGTAGGAAACAAATGTTTCCAGAATCCTCTCATCTCTTCTTCCTTCTTTCTTATATTCACTCTTCTCTTCTTCCAAACGTGAAGACCAAGTTTAAGGTAAGAATCTGAACCTTGGTAGTTTCTTTGATTTTTAGATTGGAAATGGAAGTTTGGATGTTATATAAGCTAAAGGAAAGCTTATATGACATTAAGACAACAAGATAAGTGTTTTAGGTATAGATTTGGAAAATGAGTTTTTAGATGAAATTTTGATATGGATGAGTTTTTGAAGTTTGAATAAGATTTTTGACTTGTCAATAAGTTAATTAAGAAGTATGAGGTGATAGAATTAAAATTAGAACAAGTTGGAATTTGGGATAGATTCTTAAATTCTACATAGAGAATTAGATTTCTAAGTTTTAGAAGTATTTAATGGATAATAATTAGTTTAAGTAAGAGTATGCAAGTTAGGAAATAAGAAAGGGGATGATATATGAAGTATTAAGCTGAAAAGAGTGGATTTTCGGGCATAAAAGAGGATTATGGGCAGAGTGCATCGATGCACATTCATAGTGCATCGATGCATAAAGTTTAAAACCCATAAATTATTTGAAGGTGTATCGATGCATTGGTAATGCATCGATGCACTCTTTTAAAATAGAAACATCGAATGCAATTAGTGCATCGATGCATAAGTCATGCATCGATGCATCCTAGTAATAATACAACATCGAATGCATTTTATGCACCGATGCATCAGTAGTGCATCGATGCATACCTTCTGAAATTGGCTTTTCTCTGAGTCTAAGGAATGATAGTTTAGAATATATTAATTAGTATACTGATAAGTATCATTGAATTACTATGTAGATATCGAGCCTAAACGAGTTCTGGAACAATCTACAAGTAGGATCGATCGAGGAAAAGGCAAAGAAATATAGGTGAGTGCATATGCATAGCATAATTATAGAAATATACTCCATTCTAGACTTATGATAAGTCTAGATTTTATATCTTGGTACATGAGCATATTCTGTATTATGAGACATGACATGAGTTCATATAAAATGCATTATATGACATGAATATGTGGGAAAAGTTATGAGCTATGTGAAAAGGTAATAATTTACATGTCTACGCGATATAGACTACATGAAATGTAAAAGCCCATGTTATGTAGATGAGAACTATAGGTATAGTTGGCATGCCAAGGGTAGAGGGTCTACGCGGTCCTTCAGGACAATATTCTACGCGGTCCTTCGAGATATATATATATATTCTTTGGAACATGTGTGAAGTCTGGTGAGACACATATGTGATCCCTAGCATATGTATATGATTCTTAAGGAATTCTATGTGGTCCTTATGGACATTATTATATGGCACTACGGTGCAATTCTACGCGGCACTTCGGTGCATTTATACGAGCTGTGGTGACAGCATAGTGCACAACCTCACATTACTCAGATACCTTAGGTTCTCAATATAATATCATGGGCCAATAAACTTATTAATACAAATTCATGAATGTTAAAGTCATACGCTTACAGGTATGGATATTGATGATGTAGACTACATTGATTAAGTACATGTTTGCATCTCATTTCATATGATTATGACATTTTCATTACATTGCCTTGTTATTATTATTACATTGCCTCACTAAGTCGATGACTTAGCGTGTGAGTGTTTCACACGTAGGATCCGAGAAAGTAGACGAGACAGGTGAAGCAGCTTG